TGTTTTTGATTTTTACTTTTTATCCCCCACAATACATTAAAGCCCCATTTCTTTCTTTCTACTTGTGGTTCCTCTTAAATTACAAAACCCCACAATAAAACACTTCAGTGGACTCAGCACGCTCTGATTGGCTGGAGAATGAGCTCCGGGCTCAAGCTGCATGCATGAAGAACTGAAAAAACGAGAGAACAAAAGGAGGATGGCCAGCCCAAACATTATCAAGAGCAGATGGAACTTAAGGAGTTCACCAAATGCTGTTTTTCTTCAGTTTGAAGGTAGTTACAGGTTATTTTTCTCGAATAACTGATGCTAGACTGATCTTTGGGGACAGGATCACTAACCATTTCATGCAGATATTGAACTTTTTCCATTATTTTCTGTGTGGACAGAAGGATACTTTATTTTAACATTCAATTATTTTTAACCAGAAACATTATGAATAAATAAACTTTTTTTTTTCCAAGAGGTAAGTAAAACATTTGACTGATTTTTTCTTCTCTTCTAAGAGGGCACGGCAGGAGGAGGCGGTTTCACTTTGCGGTCATCATCTGTACAAATTCTGAGAGGAGAGATGGAGAGAAAATTAGATTAGGCAGTTGCTTTTGGCCGAATGCCACGCTGTGCAGCCAGCTGCTAAATTGTTCAATGGTTTATAAATTTTTTAATCAAGAGGTGAAGGCAGAATTCGCATGGTAATTAGCGTCCCATTTCCGAATGGCTTTCATATGCGTCTAATCAAGAGGCTCCGTTTTCAGCAAAACAAAAAGGGGCCTTTAACACATACACTCTGTACAAATATGGTGCATTATGGGAAATGTGAGCCATTTTTGATGCAGATAAATTAATAGTAAAAGACACTGTGGGTCATTCCAACATGGACATGAATAAAGTACCAGAGATGAGAATCTAATGGAATTTAAGACTCTGAACTGACCAATTCACTGAGTGAATGAATCATTAAGACTGATTCGAGTCTTTTTGACCATTTGTCAGAAAAATTGATTGATTCTGTTGTTTTTGTGTAAATATTTTTTTTCAATAATAATACTTACTACATCATCTTTATGTGATATATTTGTTGAAGTAATATAGTTGAGTTACCAGATGGTGCCTTTGAGATAAAAAGACGACTAAATGGAGAAAAAGTGGGCACTGAAAAGTAAGCAACTTACCTTCATAGTTCACCTGACCATCACCATCTATGTCGGCTTCTCTGATCATCTCATCAACCTCTTCATCTGTCAGCTTCTCGCCGAGGTTTGTCATGACGTGACGCAACTCTGCAGCACTGATGTAGCCATTACCATCCTGAAGAGAAAAACTGAATGTCAGCCAGAGTCAATTTTGCCTGTAATAAACAGCCAAGTGAAGTAGTTACAGCTCAAACATACCTTGTCAAATACCCGAAAAGCCTCGCGAATCTCTTCCTCGCTGTCTGTGTCCTTCATTTTCCTGGCCATCATCGTCAAGAACTCTGGGAAATCTATGGTTCCATTTCCTAAGAAAATGGGAAGTGAGATTTTCTTGAAAACAAAAGTATGGACAGAAACATTCACCTCAGGTACACTCAGATAATAAACCAGTTCCACATTAGATTAACAAAATAAAAAATTATGACTTTACATCTCACAGTTGCGACATTACATCTTAAAATTGCGAGAAATAACCAACTTTAAATGAATATTTCTCATAAACGTGACCATTTCTTACGATGTGGTTTTTTTTCTAATAATTACAACTTTAATTTAGACTTTATATCAAACTTGAAACTTTACCTCACCTCTAAGGTAACTCTAAGGTATAAAAGGTATTCATATTTAAGTTAAAGGGCCAGCTTTACAAAATAGGACAAATTAGCGCAAGACCCCAAATCGCATAAAAGCGCCAATGGGAGTGGAAAGTTCTGCTGTTGATCTGCTGAAATGCCACTCTCTCGTGTACAGGCGTACGGTTTATAAAAATTTTAATACAGATATTTTTCTTACACAAATGCATCGCTTCACTTCAGAATGCTTTCATTAACCCTCAGAGCTGTGTGGAGCACTTTTTATGATGGATGAATGCACTTTTTTGGGCTTCAAAATCTTAAATCCCATTTACTGCCATTATAAATCTTGAAAGAGCAAGGACATTTTTTAAATATAACTCTGATTGTATTCATCTGAAGGAAGAAAGTAATATACACCTAGGACCTTGCTGTCTATGGGGAGGGTCAGAAGCTCTCGGAATTCATCAAACATATCTGGCCCAAAGTCTACTAAAATTGTAGCAAAAGATCTTCATGTTTTGTTCGATGACACCTCCACCCCATCTCAGGGTCATCCGCCAGGGAAGCTCTCCAAGCGTAAACCGCAAGTCGTCCCCAGGACACTCACAGTTTACCAATGAGTCATCAAAGGGAAGAGGTGGGGATTCGCTAAGAGAGATCATGTGACTCACTTTGGATTAGCAGGGGATGATAGTCCTCGAGGGACAGCAGTGAAAAATAAAAGCCGAGAGGGTGACTGTGATCTAAGAGACACGGCTAGATCCCTACAGCTGGCACAGACAGACTAGCCGCAGCTGACCATAAAAGAGCTAAACCACGTTTAACATTCTCTGAGGTCAGAAATAGGTCAAGCGTGCAGTAATAAAGACCAGGCTGGATTACCAACTGGATGTGTGGAGCCACTGGTCTAGGATGAGCCAGCATAAAAGGGACATTGAGCTTTGACTCTGGGTTGAAAGCTACGGTCCTATGGGTTGGAGCAGATGGTGATTTAATGGTGTGTGGTGTAATATAGTAAGACAACCTGAGAGTAAAACTCCTATTCAATGATCAACGAGCCACATTCCTAGCATGGCAGATAAAAATGCAAGACCTTTGATCACTACAGGATGTTGAGTCATATTAGCGCAGGCTTTCACAGGAACTTAAGGGAAACGCAATGCATTACTAGAGGGACCACTCAGCAACACACAATTGTGCTGAAATCAGCCATTTCCAGGTCACTTCCAGTGTCGATTCTCAAAATAAGTTCTTCCCCAGTTTCCTGGCAACTAAATTCGATAAGTGTGTGGGAAAGAGATGACGAATGCAAAGAGTGGATTATGCAATTACTTTTATTTTACACTACTCGCATTATTGCCGTCTGACCTAGATAGACCCACAGGGCTATCGATGCGCTGATCGAAGAAAACCGACAGAACGGCTCGCAATCTGACAGGCTTCAGGAGTCTAGCGGCCTCCCGATCCTCCCACACCATCTTGGCTTGTGACGCGGCTGTCTGTCTGTGGCGTCTGTGACAGGAGGCTGATTGGAGAATTTTCAGGTGTCACTCTTTGCTGAGAGAGTGCTGAGCGAGTGGATCGTCGCACCATTGGACGCTATGTCACAGCAACGAGATTAAATGGTCTCACAGACAGGCTATACTTACTCCAATGACAGGCGTGTGAAAGAGAAAAAAAACCCTGAAAACTCGTCTTTTCAACATCATCTATAAATTAAAGGGGTGGGGTGTTATTTTTCACAAGACTTGCTATGCCAGTTTAATATGCTGAGACAACTGGTTAAATGACAAAGACACATCGTGCATAAGAAAAATTGGGGAGGGTCAGAGAGCTCTCGGAATTCATCAAACATATCTGGCCCAAAGTCTACTAAAATTGTAGCAAAAGATCTTCATGTTTTGTTCGATGACACCTCCACCCCATCTCAGGGTCATCCGCCAGGGAAGCTCTCCAAGCGTAAACCGCAAGTCGTCCCCAGGACACTCACAGTTTACCAATGAGTCATCAAAGGGAAGAGGTGGGGATTCGCTAAGAGAGATCATGTGACTCACTTTGGATTAGCAGGGGATGATAGTCCTCGAGGGACAGCAGTGAAAAATAAAAGCCGAGAGGGTGACTGTGATCTAAGAGACACGGCTAGATCCCTACAGCTGGCACAGACAGACTAGCCGCAGCTGACCATAAAAGAGCTAAACCACGTTTAACATTCTCTGAGGTCAGAAATAGGTCAAGCGTGCAGTAATAAAGACCAGGCTGGATTACCAACTGGATGTGTGGAGCCACTGGTCTAGGATGAGCCAGCATAAAAGGGACATTGAGCTTTGACTCTGGGTTGAAAGCTACGGTCCTATGGGTTGGAGCAGATGGTGATTTAATGGTGTGTGGTGTAATATAGTAAGACAACCTGAGAGTAAAACTCCTATTCAATGATCAACGAGCCACATTCCTAGCATGGCAGATAAAAATGCAAGACCTTTGATCACTACAGGATGTTGAGTCATATTAGCGCAGGCTTTCACAGGAACTTAAGGGAAACGCAATGCATTACTAGAGGGACCACTCAGCAACACACAATTGTGCTGAAATCAGCCATTTCCAGGTCACTTCCAGTGTCGATTCTCAAAATAAGTTCTTCCCCAGTTTCCTGGCAACTAAATTCGATAAGTGTGTGGGAAAGAGATGACGAATGCAAAGAGTGGATTATGCAATTACTTTTATTTTACACTACTCGCATTATTGCCGTCTGACCTAGATAGACCCACAGGGCTATCGATGCGCTGATCGAAGAAAACCGACAGAACGGCTCGCAATCTGACAGGCTTCAGGAGTCTAGCGGCCTCCCGATCCTCCCACACCATCTTGGCTTGTGACGCGGCTGTCTGTCTGTGGCGTCTGTGACAGGAGGCTGATTGGAGAATTTTCAGGTGTCACTCTTTGCTGAGAGAGTGCTGAGCGAGTGGATCGTCGCACCATTGGACGCTATGTCACAGCAACGAGATTAAATGGTCTCACAGACAGGCTATATTATTTAAACGCAAAACCGAGAAAAAAAATGCAATTCACAAGTGCATATTGAACCGTGGATGTCATACCGAACGGTTCGATATCATATCGAGAATTGTGACATCCCTAATAGATAGATAGATATTAATAAGCCGTTTTATTGATACATTTATTTTCTAAGAAATAATAATGGAAGATCTTGCCAAACTACATAAGGTTTTCTACATTATGATATCGGTTGCATCACCCTAAGAATTTTTTACTTGATGCCGCTTTGTAAATTGCATTTATAATCGTATCTTTAAATAAATCACTGACCCAATTATAAATAATCCATTCGTAGACTGATTTCCTGAACAAACATTCTCTGTTTGTCTGAGCAATCTGACACAACAAATACCAACACTAGTTCAACCCATAGTATGAGTTTGTGAAGAGTGTCCTTTAAGATATTTTGTTCAAATTTCGAAAGAAACCAGTGATCGATTTCATTCAACTGTGATTTATTGGTACTTTCAAAGCCACTCACCATCAGCGTCCACCTCATTGATCATGTCCTGCAGCTCTGCCTCCGTGGGGTTCTGACCCAGCGACCGCATCACTGTGCCCAGCTCTTTGGTCGTGATGGTGCCGTCACCATCCTTGTCGAATAAGGAGAAAGCCTCCTTGAACTCTGAGATAAGAAAAGGGCGGTAGCTGTATTTAGTGTCTGTTTCAAAATACACTAATCAAAGTGATCTGATTACATTCATGCACTCTCACCTGCAATCTGCTCCTCTGTTAACTGGTCGGCCTAGAAATCAAAAAGAAAAGAAATGCTGGTTACTAATTAGAGACAGGCAAAAAAAACATTTCTGTTTTAGTATTTTAAAAAAAGAATGTAATGCATCTCAATACACCAAGAAGAGTCTGATCATTTGCCATTAAAAAAAACAAAAAAACACTGATAATGTGACACTTGTAGCATGAAGTATACTCTTAAAAAGGTTCTTTATTGGCATCAGTGGATCCATTGAGAACTTTTAAGAATTATGGAACCTTTCCATTAAGATTCTTTAAAGTGGAAAAGGAAAAAGGCTTCACACTAAGAAAAAATAGTTCTTTTTAGGAACCGGTCACTGAAAGGTTCTTAGGAGAACCCGAAATGGTTCTGCCATTGAAGGTTTTCGGAACCATTTTTGGTTCCCAAAAGAACATTTCAGTGAGCAGTTCTTAAAATAACTATTTCAATAACTCAAAGAAACTTTTTCCACTATAAAGAACCTTCTGTGCATCTGAAAGGTTCTACACCCTTACAAATAAAGGTTCCAACAGGGGGGTTTCGCAGCGATGCCATAGAAGAACCATTTTTGGTTCCTCAAAGAACCTTTCAGTGAACAGTTATTAAAAGAAAAAAATGTAAAGAACCTTTTATGCATCGGAAAGGTACTATGGGTGTTAAAGGTTCTTCATGGAACCATCAATGCCAATAAAGAACCTTTATTTTTTTTAAGAGTAAACATTTTGTGTTTAAACTTCATGTGACATCCAAACAAAAGCACTTTAGTTCATACAGTGGCATCAGATTACAGGACACTGACCAACAACAACCCAGGCCTTTGGTTAACAGCGAGGAGAGAAAAGCTTGTTGTATGAGTCTCAAGAGCTTGCTAAAGTGGATGAGAGCTGCTAGGAAAACAAATAGCCCACATTATGAAGGGGAGGAGTGGGGCTAATGGGCCAAAGACAGAGGAACACACAACCATCACTTCAATCACACTAATTAATTATTCTACTTCCTTTCTGCATTAAGCAGTCATACTCACATGATATGACATAACATGCAGCTGAGATCATCGACTTAAGAGCCTTTCTAATGCACACGCACTGGATCCAATAGTTCCAGCAGTTGAGTCACTGGCAGATATAATGAAGAAAGAGCACTGGTTTGTTGGATAAGTGGGTCTTCCTGCTGCCAGCTGTACGGCTCATTTCATTCCTCATTCATGCCCATGTGCCCAGTACCCAGGCAACCCCCATCACCCCCTCCCAAAGCTCATCCTGGCCCTGGGGGATGGGCCGCTGCAGCAGAGGAACAGACGCAGCTGCTCTGGGACTCCCTGACATCCAGCGTGAGCCGCGGAAGACTGTCTGAATCGCTTCTCTTTTATAATGGCCAATAAATGGAAATTAGTGGTTGTAGGTCGATAAAGATATCACAAACACGCACATTTAAGCAGGTGCTCTGAGACCCGACAATTCCCGAAACGTTCAACAACATGCTGCTTTTCCTAAACCTGTTCATCGTAAATCAGACCTACAGTTAATAGGCAGTTAGAAGTGGAACTGATAGTACTTTCTAGAAGTTGCCAGTGCAGTTGTCTTGATGTGTGTATATATATATATATATATATATATATATATATATATACACACACAGATATATCGACCAGGCCAATGTTCTGCAAATATTTGTCTGTTTTATCAGTTGTGCCATAGCTATGTGCTAATTCCCTTTTCAAACCACAATTCATACTCAAACATTTTTCATAATTATCAGTTTGTCAAAATTGTTGTCTGTAATTTTCTTACATATACATGTATAATTATATACAATGTTTATTCCAATATTAAATTTAAATATAATCGCCATACAATTTAGCGACAATTACATTTCATTTCTCATAATTTTCAGTTTGTCAAAATTGTTGTATATAATTTCTGTACCTATACATAGATAACTGCATACGTACAATGTTTATTTTGATATTACATTTAAATATTATATACCCACACAATTTAGTGACCATTACACATTTTTCATACATTTCTCATAAGTTGATGTCAAAATTGTTTTCTGTAATTTTTGTAAAAGAATGAGGCCAAGTTGGAAAAAATGTATTTAAATATTATATACCCACCCAATTTGTATTTTATTTTACATTTTATTAAATTTTTCATACACTTTTTTGAGTCGTGTCGTAATTGTTGTCTGTAAATTTCACAGACTTACAATTGTATTAAACATCATTACACATGACAATTACACTTTTTATTACAATTGTTCTGTAATTTTTACACATGTACATATATTTATAACTTTATAAATTGTTTATTGCAATAATAAATTATGTACCACACATTACGTACACATACAATTTTTCATCCTTTTCAATTTATGTCAACATTTTCTGTAATTTTTGTAAAAGAATGAGGCCAAGTTGGCTCTATGTAAAACAAATATTGGAAATCGTATTGGTCTCAGTTGTAAAACATAGGCTAATTAAACTATTTCAGCATCAAATTAATAATTACTGCTAATTAAAAACGACCTAATTACTGCATCTCTAATAGCAACATATTGAGCATTTACAGAAAATCTGATCATAAAATCAAGAAGTAAACCAAACGGAGTGAAATTTGAACTGCTCCTCCTCTATTTTCTATCGCACACCTGAATACTAAAGGATCTCTTCAACTCCTACAGAAACCGCAAGACCGAATCACTCCAGCTGTACTTACTGTGCAGTGACACTACTGTCACCCATCTGCGTTGAGATGTGTTCATCTGAAGCGCTGTTCTACCGCTTATTAAAAATGTTCAGGCTAATGAATGTAGGTCAGTATACACACACTACAGCATAATCCTCAAGAGTCCCAACACATAAAGCATGAGTTTCAGGGAACATTACATCATAACTTCACCCAGGACAGCTGTCTCCTACCAGATGCTGTTCCTCACTATTAGAACACACACAAACCCAATACAGAAATCAAACCAATGACAATAAACCAAACTCATATCTACTGCCAGTCCAGAAACATTAAACCATACGCACAAAAGCCCAGAGGAAAATGTTATTGCTCAGAGTTCGCTCTTTCACGGTTTAGAAGAGTACACTCTAGAAAATGCTGGGTTAAATACAACCCAGTGCTGGGTAAAATAGGGACAAGCCCAGCAATTGTGCCGTTTTGACCCAGCGGTTGGGTTAAATGTTTAACCCAACCTTCTGGGTAGTAACCCAACCGCTGGGTCAAAACAGCCCAATTGCTGGGCTTGTCCCTATTTTACCCAGCACTGGGTTGTATTTAACCCAGCATTTTCTAGAGTGTAAGAGAAACAACTGAGATATTAAAGATACATAACTAATGACTTCCGGTTCCTGCAGGGAAGCTAAAAAAAAAACCTCCAACAGGTTTTGGTTTACTAGGATGGACCACAACTACATCACACACACGAAACGCCGAACAACACCTCTCAGATTCAACAAACAAAAAAAGCCAGAAGACAGACATTTCACAACGACACACCTTTTATTTGCATAAGCTACAGTGACTACAGACAAAATACAGGAAACTGGGCGCCCATTACCACAAGCCTACACCCTTTCAGTCCACACAACATTGTGGTTTGGTTAAAATACAACTGCCTGTCATTAGTGAGGCCTTTAAATGTGTGTAAAGTGGTTTTAGATGGGAACCGCTGGCCCTGCTGGTGTAAAATTCAGTCTTTGGAGAGGGTTTAAAGGGAGATAGATGATGCAACAGACGCTTGTGGAGCCACATCCTCTACCTCCTCATCTCAGACACATCTACGGTCATCTTCTTCATATCCCATCCATCATATTTCACGAATATTAGCATAAACATCCTTATCATGCCAACCTACTGACCCTCTACACCCCAGATATGTGCATAAGCAGTCTGTCCAATTAAAAAAAAATATATATATATATATATATATAATATCACAAGTACAGGTTTCAGTGTGATGTCATGTTGATCTACATTTTTTTTTTATCATGTAGTAAGATATAAAGAAAAAATAATAACATATGGGATGTATTCCACATCATTTGATGTGTGTAACCCGCATGTAAGATAAAGGATGTAAGAATTGCGCAGTTGTAGATTCAGGCTTCCCTCTTGAACTATAGCAGGTAACTAAATAAAGCGCAATGTTTTAAAACATGCGTATCGTTGAAGTAAATCATCGCGATAAGTTAACGTAACGTTACATCTGTACAACTGCAACGCTTATATTAAAAGCATATTTCTTATCCAACTAGGCTAATTTGATGCGAACGCACTTGTTGAGACTGTGTCTGGCCGAGTAATGCGTTAATAGTATATGAAATAAATGATTACGTACCATGATTGTGAGGAATAAAGCGTGATAATCTCCAGACTAGGCTAATCGCAGGTCTCTCCGGGATGAGTGTACACTGGAGCGGCTCTAGCTGTGGACTCGGCGAGAAGCGCACATGTATTCATCCGCCGCTCACTTCCTGACTCAGCGCGTGCGGAGCGGCCCTCAGCCAATCAGACGCGCCGTTAGAGCGCAGGCAGACCGAAGCACACCGATGCAGTAAACAGTGGGCATGTTCTTTCTGAAATATTTCAGCATTAAGGTGATGGATTAATACAAGTCTGTGCCAAACAATACATCTTTGCACAATAGTAGCATGCCCTGGCCCCTGGTCTGGAGAATGTGAAGATCTGATTGCTCATTTTGTGATTTTTGGGTCATAGATGAATTAATTATGCATTGTCCAGTCTGAGGCACCTAATTAATGCAGTCTATTTATACACATAATTTTGTAACCCAGAAGAGGAACAGTAATTTCTCCACTGAAAAATGCATTTGGGGCATTTTCATATATATAGCTAAACAAAGCTGCATTGTATTACATAATAATAATAATAATAATAATAAAAACAATTAATGCTGCTCCATGATTAAGGATATTAATAACTACTGCTGATTTTTTTTTACTCACTTAATTGCTCATTTTGTTCAGTTCATTGCCAGAGATTAATGAATTATCCAGGAGAGGTCTGTGGAACCTCATTATTAGATTATTAATAACACAAAAACACCAAAGCTAATTTAGGGGCTCTGTTTATGTTTGCGTGTATCAGAATAGGATTCTGTGGTTTGGAGCATCTTTTATTAAATCCAGCACAAGTTAGGCAATGCCATTATTAGATCATTATTAAATCAACACTACTCCTCCTACTGCTTTTATGAAGAACGGGCTCTTCGTGAACTCAAGTGATGTGTGGCACTAGTTTCTCCAGGCGGAAGGATACGCGTGGATTTCCCTCCGCTTGAGAATTCACGGCGTCGGTTTGTTACAGAGCAGCTGATTGGTTGACGCGGACCTGCAATATTATACACAATGTTAAGGGGGGCATTATTGGCCGCCCTGGACCTGCAATGCACCAGGCAACGGTGTATAAAAGAAATCCCATCAAGGTGCTCATAGTAAAACTTAAAAAGAAAAAAAAAGTAAAGTCATTGAATTATACTATGTTAGTATTTGGCTACATTTACTTGTATTGTACCACACTGCAGTACATTCTCTATAAAGAAAAGAGGAAGTGCATCAGGTTTTACCCACAGAGAATCTTCAGCACTTTCTATTGGCTAATGTCTAACCATGAACAAATCACCCATAGGCCACCACTCAACACACACACATCATTTAATAATTACATAATTTTATATAATATATATATATATATATATATGATCTCTTATATAGAATGACATAATTCTTAAATAAAATGAAATAATTACCATTTTTAAATATTTCATCCTACTTTCTGACTCTATATTTATTCTGTTTTTATTTATATTTTATCTCTAATACAAGTAACTATGTGCTACACAGTAACTTCATCACTACATCCCACCCCTTATTATTGAATTTATTAAGCAAGTGTTAGTTTACAGTAATGAAACTGTATTAGTTAATACTGTATGTTATTTGATTAAAATTGTCCCCAAGATCCAGGACTTGCTTCTAACCTGCCGTGGCCGTGTGTTACCTCCCTTAACAATGTCCAAACATGACACCTAGTGTCCTTAAGTGTGGAAGATCACAGATGGACCGGCTTCGGAGTTCTTTACTAACCTGTATAATGTGTCTTGTATGAGGCCCGTCATGAAGAAGCTTAGCCTCAGTGACACTGTCAAGTGGTCTGCATGCAGCTTTCGGTCTACGTGAGCTAGTCTGTGATTGCTGTGACTGATTTAAAGAGTGCAGCACGGATCCTGTGAAGGGCCGCAGACTGACTGCTTTCTGCTGACTGCAGACTTTCATTAGTTGCTCCTTTACATCAAGGAAGCATTTCCATCACCCTCTTCATGGCGCTCTGCAGAGGTCAATGAAGAACGAAGGCTTCAAAATAGGACTTAAAAGGAGGAAAACATTCTTCTTGGTGGATTTTAAACATTTTATATACAATAGCACTTCTAATAATGCAATAATCTATAATAATGTATTCACACCTTTGCAAAAAAAAAACAAAAACGAGCTGAAGGGATACAGCATGTGTGATGAGGTTGTTTTAAATAATTAAGGGAAACCGAGATTGAGATGAGAACAATCTAAAAACGCTGCATTAATTATGCCAATCTCTGCAGAGTCGAGCAGGAGAGAGAAGACTGGCCGCACAACACTGCTCCTCTACTTTAGTTAGCAGGGAAATGAATCATTGCTCTCTCTTGAGGATTCGCTTTCTCTGCAGACGCTGTGACTTTTTGATTCAAATAATTACATTCAGAAAACCAGGTTTTTAGTCAAATTCCTTGAAATTGAAATCGAAGACCATTAAAATGAATAAAAAGAATATAGATCATTAAACACAAAAGACTGATCATTTTTCTGAAGAGAAAAATATCTCAAATTCATAGATTATATATATACTGTATATAAACATATCTACATGACTCTCAGATGTTTAGAAATATTTCACATTTTTAGAAGTTTTTTAAAATGTTTTTGAAAGAAGTTTCTTCTGCTCACCAAGGCTGCATTCATTTGATGAAAAAAAAACCAAAAAAAATTTGAATATTGTAAAATATTATTACAATAACTCCAGACTTTGGTGATTCTAATATTCTGCTCGAGAAACATTTCTTATCATCATCCATATTGAAAACATTGTGGAAACTGTGAATACGCTACAATTCAAAAGTTTGGCTCAAGTAAGATTAATACTTAAAAACATTTTTTATTGAATAAGGACACATTAAATTGATCAAAAGTGACTAAAAACAGATTTCTAGTTCATATAAATGCTGCTCTTTTGAACTTTTTATTCATCAAAAAAATCATGGGGACAAAAATGAGCACCAATAATAATTGATAGCAAATCAGCATATTAGAATGATTTCTGAAGGATCATGTGACACTGAAGACTGGAGAAATGATGCTGAAAATTCAGCTTTGATCACAGGAATAAATTACATTTTAAAACATATTAAGATACAAAAACATTTATTTTAGCATTGCATTAATATTTCACAATATTACTGTTTTTACAGCATTTCCGATGAACAAAATTCAAAATATATCACCTTCTGAGGGCTATAAAAAAAATGTACAAACCAATTAAATACCTCTGATCCAGCTGTAGTATTTCTTTTCTGACCTCAATAACAAAACAACTAATTGGCAGACCAAAACATGTGTAAATTTAAGCCAAATGTGTACTCAAGAGTGAGCGCTGCACTCACATATAAACAGAAATGAAAAGATTAGAGATAGAGGCCTTCAGGGGTGCCCTCCTGCTTCTTATACAAAACATTTTCTTTAGACTTCTTGAAGTCCTCGTTGGTGACTTTCATCCTGCGTTCTCTGAGGGCCATGAGGCCTGCTTCTGTACAGATGGCCTGAAGAGACAAGAAGTCAAGAGTTAAGATATATATATATATGAGATATATGAAAAAAAACTAAATCAACACAAGAGGGCAGCAGAGATTTTCTGCAACACTTTCAAATGAACCGAATCAATTAACATACCTTAATATCAGCTCCTGAAAGGTCATCTTTAGCCAGGATGAGGTCGTCCAAGATCACATCCGCAGCCACAGTCATTCTGCTGGTGTGGATATGGAAGATCCTTCTCTTGGTTTTCTCATCTGGTAATGGGAACTCAATCTTTCGGTCGATGCGACCTGCAGAGAGAAAATGCCTTGAGGGTTCATCTAAAATGCACATAACCTCTGAACATCACAGCACGAGTCTGCAGTAGTATCTCACCCGGTCTAATAAGAGCAGGGTCAAGGGTCTCTATTCTGTTGGTAGCCATAACGACCTTCACATCTCCACGCGAATCAAAGCCATCCAGCTGATTAAGGAGCTCCAACATGGTTCTCTGAATTTCACGTTCACCTCCTGAGTTGGAGTCGTATCTGCAAAGAGGTAATCAGGGTATATGATTAAAGGAATAGTTCACCCAAAAATGAAAATCTGCTCAAAGTTTACTCAAGCCATCGACGAGTTTTTGTCGGAACAGATTTTGGAGAAATTTAGCATCCCATCTCTTGCTCACCAATGGATCCTCTGCAGTGAATGGGTGCCGTCAGCTGTTTTTAAAGTCCAACCAGCTGATAAAAACATCACAATAATCCAAAACACGACTAAACTTTTGCTTCTGACCAAAATATACAGTAAATCAAGAATCCACAAAAATGCTTCCTCAAGTGAAACAGTCCATTTTCGCTTGCAAACGGTGCTTTATCTGTGCATATTTCTATCCTGATTCAGACAGGCCTTGTATTTTAACCAGAAGCTATGGTTTGAAGTCTTAATGATGGATTGTTTCCTTTCAAACATGCATCTTTTGGCTTCACAAGATGTTAACTCCTGGACTGGACTGGAGTGGTGTGGATTACTGTGATGCTTTTATCAGCTGCTTGAACTCATTCTGACGGCACCCATTCACTGCAGAGGAGCCATTGGTGAGTAAGTGATGTAATGCTAAATTTCTCCAAATCTGTTTTGATGAAGAAACAAACTCATCTACATCTTGGATGGCCTAAGGGTGTATACATGTTTTGGTGAAATGTCCCTTTAAAAAGCAAAAACGCTTTGCTCTACCTCTTAGTTCCAATGGCGTCAATCTCATCGATGAAGACGATAGAAGGAGCATGTTCCTCTGCCACCCTGAAGAGCTCACGTACTAGTTTAGGGCCGTCGCCGAGATACTTCTGAATCAGCTCTGAACCAACAACCCGCAAAAAAGTTGCAGACGTCTGATTGGCCACTGCCTTGGCAAGGAGGGTTTTACCTAACATTCGGGGAAATTATATGATAGATCAAGATTTGTGATGTCACCCTTATTTCTGTCTGTGAAATGTCATCAAAATATGTTTTGGTAATTAAACGATCTTTGATCACCTGTTCCAGGGGGGCCGTAGAGAATGACCCCTTTGGGAGGCTTGATCCCCATTTCCTCATAATACTCTGGATGGGTC